CGAGGCCAGCAGGCTCGGCCGGCCGACGCCAGATGTCTGGCGCAGGGGGAGGAGGGCCGGGGCTAGGGGTTTGAGTGGAGAAGGGGAGGAGGCGGGGACTTGGGCGCGGGGGCTGGGGAGGCGAAGGGTGGAGCGGCGGGAGCGGGAGCGGAGAGGCCTCATGTCTGCCCAAAGCAGTGCGTTGTGGGCCTTGGTGGGCTCTGGGTTGAAGCGGAGAATTACGGAGAAGCAGGCCTGCATAGCGGAGATTGCTGCTAACTTCGGTTCGGCGGTTGTTCGGTTCCATTCGACTCAAAAACCGACACCGTAGCCGAAGACCGAAGTTCCCAGGATCCAAAACCGAAGCCGAACCGAAAAACCAAAAAACCGACACTCGGTTCGGTTCGGTTCGGTGTTCGGTTTTCGCTAAAATGTGTCCAGGCTGAATCCCATAGGTTACTTAAAGCTCATAGGTGCTGACCATGACCTACACTGACGGCGTGCTATGGACTTGTATGATTGTTGGGAATGGTAAAGGATCATACGCACTCAGCACTCAAGGATGCTTGTGGATGTGGAGACATCGCCAAGCATCTTTACTACCACGTTTTGGTGGATGTTGTTTTCTGTTTTTAATCGGTTTATATGGATATGGATTCGATCTCATAGTCTGTAGTAGGTTATATCCAAATGTACTTTGATTTATGTAATAAAATGAGTTGTAATGCTATGTATGGATATGAAATCAATTGAATATGGCGGTGCATGTGATAGTTTTTCATTCATTGGACTATTACAATTGTGTAGAGCTTGAGATTTTTTTTGTTGAGGAAATTGTAGTCAGTTTCAATAACCGCAGAGAAGATGGTACACTCCATTGGTAGTTTTTTTGTTTGAAAGGAGGTAGGTTGTGTTTTTCAATACCTTTGTTAGGTCCTGCTGCATTGCTCCGTAGGCCAGTGGTGTTTAGGTCATGGTATTGGTGTGTGAGTCCACGAATCATCAAGTACAGCATGGATGGTTAAGCTTTTGAGTGTCTTTTGCTTTCCCTTCACATAGAGGAAATTCAGCAACGGTGGTTGGCATATCAAATCGCCTCAACGTCTTTGGGATATGCAGAGCAAAAGGTCAACTGACGCAATGACAAAAGGACTATACTCATCAGCAACTGAATCGATGGGACTTGCAAGCAAGAGTCTCAGCTAACCCGAGACCTCAAGTTTCTGATTCAGTGCATGCAGGCATGCAGCATGCAGCATTCGCAGTTTACAGCTCAGGCTCAGTGCAAGTTTTTGCGAACGCCCTTGAACTCGTATTTCATTAAGAAAAGAAAGAAATGTGACCGCACACAAGCAGCAGATCTAGAGGAGCCTCAGTATAAGTGAACTTTTTTTTTTGACGATTTAGTATCGAGATTCGAGAGCAGAGAGATTGTAATAGACCGCGTAATTTACAGCGACAAATTACCATGTCTTCATAAGATAATACAGTTTCTAGAAAACATGGTTGGTAGGTTTGTACTGCAAAGCAGTGCACAAGTAGATTTATAATAGGAAACATCTCGTTCTCTTAATTAACAAATGCTTTGTAACGTTCCTTTTTTTCCTTGTTTTTTTTTCTTTGTGTAGGGATAAAGCAAAAGGAAACATCTCGTTCTCTTAATTAACAGATCTCGTGTCACTTCATGCAAAAGATATACTAAACATTGCATTGTATGTTTATCCTATTGGACAAAAAGAAAGAAAATGTAGTGAAAAAGGTTGGGGAATAAAGGCACATTTCCGGTGGGAAATAATTAGGTGCACCATACAAGGATATGCCATCAGCGCATCTAATTACATGCTCACAAGTAATTAGAGAAATTGGGACAATGAAAGAAAGAACATTCTGACTTCATTGCTTAAGCTTTTGCATGCTACTGTCAACTGAAGCAGATCGATTTGATTATTAGACGAAGGAATGGCTTGTGAGTTTTTGATGTGCATGATTACTAGCATGTAGAGTTGTGATTGTACTGCTACAAATTGCTTATACAGGATCATACAAAAAATGGGGAAATAGCACTGATTCTTGCCGACAAATGGTTACAGACTCACAAGTCACAGGCACCACCTGGCAGCCTCAATGCTTCACTGGGATGATGCCTTCCAATCTGTGTATCTTTCCATGGGTTCCACTTAATCTTTCCAGGCACATCACATACACATAGCCGCGGGAAAACTAATCCACATGCTAATCAGGGGCCACTGATGCGATCCTGCATCCGGTTTGGGCACTGAAGCACTTACAGTACAGTTTATTTTGGCCTGTTCGCTTGAACTTATCAGCCGGCTTATCAGCTAGAATCTACAATATTTTTCTCTCACAATAAAACAGCTTCAGTCGACTTATCAGCTCGGCTTTAATACCGCCGAACAGGCCCAGCACGAACCGATGGAATTCCGGTGCAGCTCATCAGATCATTGGTGAATTGCGGTTGTTGGAAAGGAGATCGCAGCCATCATTATGCTTCAAATGAACTGCATTTCCAAATCCATTAGCTACTTAGCTCGCTGCCTACTACTAGCTACTTACTGGCTTATATTCGAAGAAAGTAAGTAGGTGATCAATCGTCTGTGGAGGATGCATCAGTGCTTGCAACGACTTGTTGGGCTCAACTGTATCAGTTTCTAGTTCTGCAACCACATGCTGGTATCAACTGCCTCTGTTTGTGTACACCATACTGCAAGATTGCACGTTTTCAGAATAGTTTATTCTTCAGAAGCAGGAGCAACTGATAGAACTCTGTGGCGCTGGTGCTGATCAGTGTTGGAGCTGAGGAGAAGAAATGAACAGCCACGGCAACATGAATACATGATGGTGGTAAGGAGACCAAAGGCTGCCATAGTTCCATGCATAACTCTAACCTTTTCCGCTGGTCTCGTCGCGGGGACAAACAGAGCACTGGTCCAGGACTGCAGGATCTAATGAGTGACACAGTCTGCCCAAGTAGCAACTCATAGCATGCCTCAATGCCTGCCATTTGGTTTTCTGGTCTCCTCGTGAGTGTATAATTTGGACACCGTGTGACAGGATTTGACAAACATTATCTCATTGTTTATCGGTACCACCTGTCGGATTACGAATTGGCATGGGCAAAGGTTGGAAAAAATATTTTGTTTTGGGAGTATAAAAGTAGTATAAAATGGCTGATCATTATGAGTGTGTTGGCTAATTGCTGTCGTTATTATTATTAGCGCTTTAATTATCTCCCTCGAAAAGCTCATCATTGGCAATCTCGGGGTTAAATATTCAGAGGGAAAGGGTGGCATGGCCCGGTTTGGTTACACATTTTTAAACTGAAAAAAGGACTGTTCGCTCCATTGCAAGGTGGTTATCCAAAAGGCAAAAGCATAACACATTTTTCACTCGTAGAGTTAGACCTACAAGCTACAACCTTTCAAGTTTCAATGCTTAAAGGGTACGTACAATTTGCGTTAATGTAACTCACTGAGCTAAATGCACAATATGTTCCAGTTTTCCAAACCTCCAAAAGTTCTTGTATATTCAGCAGATGGTGCAGAGTGATGCGATCTAGAACAGTCTAGGTTTCGCCTAGGACGACTAAGCGTTAAGAACAATCAGTTAGTCCCATTAACGGTAATGGATCTAAGATTCAGAAGTGAAAAAGACCTGTTACATCATCTTGGTAATACGGTTACCACATGTTGGACATATAAGTCATAGCTTGCTGCATCAAGAAACCTATATATAACTTTGTAAACGGCACATTGCTCTGTACTGTTTCTGTGTTTCACGACCATCATAGTATTTCTGCAGTCTTGCTAGTATACTGAAACCTTAATAGCGCCCGAACAATGGAAGCAAAAGCAATCGATAGGTAGATTCAGAAAAAGGAAATTCTCCAGGTTGAGATGACAAGGACTCGTTAACAGAACTTCCCGTCAGTAACGACTACTAGCTTTGCGGACTCTTACGCCATGCAACAAATCTGCCGACCCCTGTCAGTCTGTTCCTTTCACCTTTGTCTAATCTTGTGTGCTCAATGAGTCAGGGAGAATCACATGAATCAAAGTGACAGCAACTCCAAATCTGAGTTGTAGCTAGCCATAAGGTATCTTGGTTGGATAAGCCCATGCATGAGCAATTGAGCATCAAAAGATGGGACACGGAGTTGGTGAGAGGGGAGCAATGGCACATAGGGGCAGGTTCAGTATCCCATACGTCGCGTACGTACCGCCAGCCGAAACCACCGGCTCCGAACGGGGACAGAACATAACCGGCCGCCGGATTCCACTAGCACCGACCGACGGACGGACGCCGGGAACAGCTGGGTGGCACTTGAGCTGTGAGCACAGAGCACCCAACCAAACCATGCGTTTCAGCTGGAGACGCACACAACGGATCGGAGCAATCAGTTCCTTGCCGCGTCCCTCCACACCACCGCACCGCACCGCGCCGCGCCGGACTACCACACAGGAAAACCCAGCCTCTCCTCCTCGTCGCCCTACCACACCATCATCACACCTCGGCTGGGGCTGTAAAAGGCTCGGCGAAATGCGCTCAAAAGGCCTCGTCCCTCCTCCCATTTCTCGCACCGTCCCCGGCCCGGTCGGTCCCCCCCAGCTACCGGAGCGCACCATAATATATTGCAGGACACCGAGCAAAAGGGCTTCTTCCATGATCATCATACCAAAACCTTCCATAAGACACAGGGCAACCCGCTAGAAGCCTGTGCTTCATCCAGCTTGCTGTTGCTTTTGTTCATTTTCAGATTGGTGTGTTTTTGTTTCCCTGATTGATACTGGGGTTAGTTCTAGAGCGTTTGCGAGGTAAAGGCCGGAGCATTTCAGAATTTGGGAAGAAAAGGATGCATCTGAAATTTGAGGTGGCATGAGTGGAGAGTGGAAGACAGAGATACAGGTTCAGCTTGCTGCTCCTCTTCTCCTGCCATTACTTAGTACATGCAACCGGGGTTTGTATTTGTGCCTTCTGAGGGGTGGTCAAATTGGTTAGCACAAATGCTAGAGTCTGGGAGACGAAGGCTTCTCCTTCTGTGCGCAAGCTTTGTGCTTCTTTCACTTCTTGGACCATCCAATGGCGCATCGAATTCCACGGAGAATCTCAGTGAGAGCCGCAACAAGACCAGTCATACTTTGGAGGTAACCAGAGTTAATTTCCAGCGTTCGTCTTTAGGTCTTCCAGTTAGACTCCAGCATTTCTGGTTGAGTCATGTTGGCAAGCACAAACCTTCGTTACTGAATGCACAAGTTGCTTTTCTTCCAGATGACACCAAAAGTATCATTTCAGCTCAAGCTACACGCATTGTTCCACTGGTCTTCGTTTGGTTTCTTGATGCCTCTAGGAATAATACTAGTCAGAATGTCAAGCAAATGTCATAATGGCAGATGCATCAGAGCCCTCTTCTACTGTCATGCCATTTCGCAGGTTTCCGTATACTTAGAAATGTTTCTGTTTTACTGTTTCTTATAGAGCATCAGAGGATAAACATTATGTACTCAACTGAATTTGCAGACTGTGGCTGTCCTCCTTGCTACCGGCGGCGCTGTTCTGTCGTTGATGAACTTCGAAAACTCCTTCAGTAACAGTCACCAAAGAGTAGGGTTGGCACTATATGGAGTCATGTGGCTTCAGCCAATTATCGGTTTCTTCAGGCCAGAAAGGTAGAAGAAAATAACTTTGCATTTGTACCACAGCTACCTTTTCTATTTCCAACAAAGCTTATACCTAATTATCTACACCATCTAAACCATTTCCTTTCTCATATTTCTGCAGAGGCGTTAAGGTGAGAAGCCTATGGTATTTCCTCCACTGGCTCCTCGGAATCGCAATCTGCGCCACGGGGATCGTGAATGTCTACATTGGCCTCCGCACCTACCATGAGAGGACCACCAAGAGCGTGAGGCTCTGGACCGGCCTACTCACCGTTGAGATCACCTTCCTGGCTTTCTTCTACCTCATGATAGACAGATGGAGCTACATGATGAAGCAAGGCCACGTCACTGTTGAGCAGCTAAGGCCAACTGATAATCGCAGAACCTATCCGACCACTCTTCGGAAGGAGCTGGCTCTGGTGCAGGAGTGAATCTCTCCAAATGGAAAGGCAATGCAGGAAGGCGAGGCGCTTTCAGATTTGCTGAAGAAGATGGTAAATACTGCTAATGGTTTGGTGACTTGTTTGCTTTGAGAGGTGTGGCGTTCTTTAGAAGATGTGAGAGTGTGCATTCCAGAATATATATTGTACAGCATTTTACAGTTGAATTCAATGCAGAGGATCGGAGCCTCTGGTGTTGAAACTTGCAAATCGACTTTTCATTTAGTTTGCATGATACTACCATGTTTTCTGGACGAAATGATCAGAACTGTGCATAGTGTCCATGTTCTAAGTATATGTTCCATGGGCACATACATTTTTTCAGCAGGTTTGCCACACATCAGAAGTGTAGGATATGTGAAATTTTACTGTGCTAAAGAGAGGAAGATAATTAGATAACACCTTAAAAAATTGTAACACATGGCATCTTTTTATCGATACAGTTGCACCTCTATATAACTCTATCCATAATTCCTTATCTGTATTGGTATTCAGTATTCTGCATTTCGTACTGACCCCACATACAAAATATTGCTATGTATATATGATTATATATATACAGTCCTATTACAAAGCAAAAGCATGTTCCTATATGCCAGTCTGGAGATAATAACTAGTTAAAGAACATGCATCTTCGTGATCATGGAAAGAGCTGGACATAACCAGTTATGACAGCAATAGCTAGAATGGCGAAAGGCGGGACGAGCACAAACGCCCCAACAGTTGCGAAGAACACCGAGTCATTCCGCCCACTGACCTGGGTAAGCAGGGCCTGCCTCTTGATGTTCCTCCTCTGTGACACGGTGAGTTTGTTGAGGCTCTTCAGGCCTTCCTTCAGCTTCTTGCCCAGTGGGAGGGTGAACTCGTCGACCACCTTACCATTGGCTAGTGCTGACAGTTGCTCACGGATAGTAGAACGCTGAAACGGTTCTGTAGGCATGCCATTCTCTAGGCCTGATGAGCAGTTGTCGTAAGAGAGTTGATTTGGACCAGGTATGACAACAAATATTACTGTATAATCTTGTGTGCAATATAAGCTTACCAGCAATGCCATCAGGTGTAGGGGACGTCAGTTGTTCCAGGAGGTCCAGCTGTGCACGGGCCGAAGAAACTTCAGAACACAACATGGCAACATCATTAGCCACTTCATTCAGTAAATAAAAACGGCAATTGTCATACTTGAAACATCTGACATTAGTAAGTCTGCAGCAATAACCGCACTTCAAACATCTGTCACTTCGCTGATGTGTTTTTGTTTCGTCTCAAATATAGCTTTGAATGACCAAGGAAATGAATTCATATTCGATGAGTAGCACAATCTCTACTCTTGGATTCACATTATTTTTTCAGTACATTGTCAATAGCAAAATCTCATATGCTTGAAACAAACATAAAAGAAACTAGCAAGGTGACCCGCGCAAATAGTAGACATTAGATTTTTTACATAATTTTTTTTTGAAAAAAATTGCTTATTTATTTGACCGTATTTTTTCTCTCTTGATGCTTCCCAAATACATCTATACGCATGAACTCCATACATCATCAATCAAATCTTTTGCTCAAAGATTTCCCATCTTCCTTTTTATTTCACTCATATCTAGTGCCCAAATGCAATTTTCGCTATGGCATGGTGCCATTATCCTTCGGTTATTTGGTTAGCTCAATAAAATTGTTGCCTAAATCTAACGATATTTAATATTCTTTGGCCCTCTTATAAATTTAAATTTTGATGTACCTAGCTCACATATTTGTAGTTGCCCAAACAGCAAGGAAGTAGGAAGGATTCAAAGACCATAATATTACATTTATTATTTATTTTCTATGTTTATAAGAAAAATGGAAAGATACTCACGAAACGAAAATAACATGCAAAATAGTCACAGAACAGGCACGGGAACAAAACAGATGGGAGATAGTTCGTAGAAAAAGGAGAACATATTCTTTTCTGTTTTTAATTACTCTCATAATTTTTAATGTTTATTAAAAAATTGGAAGATACTCCCTCCATCCCAAATTGTAAGTCATTCCAAAAATCTTGGAGAGTCAAAGTTTTTCAAGTTTGACCAAATTTATATAACAAAATAATAATATTTATCATACCAAGTAAGTATCATTAGATTCTTCATTAGTTATATTTTCATATTATACCTATTTGATGTCATCAATCTTTGTGTTTCTCTCTATAATTTTAGTCAAACTTGAAAAAGTTTGACTCTCCAAGATTCTTGGAATGACTTACAATTTGGGATGGAGGGAGTACTAAAGAAACGAAAAAATAGACATGGAATGGGAACGAAAAAAACGGACGGGTCTGTAGAAAGAAAAGGAAAAACAGAAAAGGAAAGAAAACTGGAAAAAAGTCACGGAAAGGGGAAAAGGGGGAAAAGGTGAAACGGTTACGAAAAGGGAAAAAGGGAAAACATGCATAATTTTTTATGAACTTTTTAGTTAAATATAGACTGTTAGATCTTCATAATCCAATGGTGTCTTTTTAGATTAATCTCGTAATTTCAGGACCCTCTTGAGGAACGTCAGAACTTCTTTTGATTCTGTTGTATTATTAAATTATTAATATAATAGAAGCTATGATTCCTTACAATCGAAAGAAAACATATATCAGCATGTGATACAAACAAAACTGTACTTGCAGGCTTTCAGGCTTTCACTTGCTCTCTCCAAAGGAAACAGAATTCATACTGAGGCAGTGATGTACTCATATAAAAGTACACGTCGAGCATGGAAACACTTTTATCAAGTGTAAATTACCATCTTTTGTGCAGGTCATGCTAAGCAGTAAGCACGGATTACTACAATCAAACGACAAGTTGAGTGCAAGAAGTACCTGCAACATTGGGTTCCTGTGTAGCGCCTTCCTGTCGCGCGGCCGCCCTGCAGCAACCGAGTGACCTCTGTTGGGCGGGGGCGACGGAGGCCTTGAGGGGGACCCTGCCACTCTTCACCCCCGCCGCCGCCGCCGCGGCGTCCACGGCCTGGAGCCTCGTGGCGGAGGAAGGGGAGAAGCTGCACGCCATGGAAATGGAATTGATGGATCGAGGAACGCGCTCTGGCCGCTGGCGCCGGTTGCCGCGAAGGTAGACAGAGACTACAGAGCAACGACCGAAGAACGCTGAAGGGAGTAAAAAGAGTATTGCTCCATATATCAAAATCAAATTCCCAATTTTTAGCGTCACCGGTGGCGCCGCCTGTCTCCGCCACAGAAATATGCCGTGGCCGGCGAGCGGAGAGTTGGCACGGCCGCGGCGCACCACATGTTCGAGCTCCCTTTGGATCTAGCGGACGGCGGGGCCACAAAATATTTCTCTGGAACGACCACCGGCCTTCTCGATTGGATGCCTCGTGGGCCTACAATAGGCCGAAGAGAGTGCGGCCCAACTAATATTTGGTCGCTCGCTCGCTCGCTCTCGGACGTCAGAAGCCACCAGCCCAGTCCATACCTACCGACCTTTCACCCCCTTTCCCCACCGGTTCGTTCCTCTTCCGTGCCGGCCGACGTACCCACCCATGTGGCACGTACGGCACCGCCGCGATGTCGTCGCCGGCAGCGACCGCGCCGTCCTCCTCGGGCGCTACGCAGCCACAGCCCCTGCCCCAGCCCACGGAGCAGCAGGGAGGCTCGAGGGAGCGGCGGATGGAGTCGCTGGGGTGGCTGACGGAGTCGGCGGTGATGCCGAAGAAGCACAAGGCCATCGAGGGCGTCGGCGCCGCCTCCATCCTCGACCTCAAGGCCCAGCTCTACCGCACCCAGGAGGAGGCCCGAAACCCCACCGCCCCCGGCGCCGTAGCAGCCGCTGCTTCCGGCGGGGAGTTCCGCCGCGCAAAGATACGCTCCGCACCCACCGACCCCCTCGGGGCCAAGAACTCCGGCGTTGAATCCCGGGCCCACAAGTATGTTTCGTCAGCTCTTTGTATAGATTTGCAGTCAGTTGGTGCAGGCATGACTATTTGATTCTAGTTTTGGGTTGAATTGATTAACCTGTCTTGATCCCTTGATTTAGGAATTCGATGCCCTAATGGTTATTATTACGAGGGCTTGGGTAAAAGTTGGGGAACAAATAGCTCCTTTAACAATAAAAACATAACCCTAATTTATATCTGCGAGGACTTTAGAACAGCAAAAAAATCAATACTTGGTTGTATTTTGCAGTTTTTGCTTACCAACGCCTTTTGATGTAGCATTTGTAGAAAACTAAGAAAATAAGTATTTCTTCATATCAGTATTAGATGCTTGTTACCTTGTCAACTTGTCTACTCCAATAGGATAGTCGAGCACTAATTAGCCTGATCACTCTCTGCAACATGATGATTTCATGGAATGTGATTCACATTGTTTATTTATTGAATGACAACTGAACACTTTTTAAGCATTTCTTTATAATAACCGACTCGAAACAAAACAAAGGTGCTGTTATAGATGCTTAGCTATGTCATATGACTTTTGGTTTATCCCAAACCACAGTCCAGTTTTTCTCCGGCAGTTTAGAATTTAAATAAACTAACAAGAGATAGAATGAAATATCTTTTTTATAAATAATACAACAACAACAACAACAACAACAAAGCCTTTTATTCCCAAGCAAGTTGGGGTAGGCTAGAGTTGAAACCCAACATGAGCCCCTAGTCACGGTTCAGGCACAATTTTCTGTTAACTGCTACCCTGGCCACAATTTTCTGTTACTTTGCAGTTTAAGTATTTCCATTCAACATGAGTCCTGTTGTTTTTTGACTCTTTATACAGTATTTCCAGTTGCCAAGGTTTCAATGCAAACTGTCTTCTGTTTTCAGCCTCATGTAGCCATAAGTCCTTTTTTTTCATGCTGTTGAGTTTTGAGTATTGACCAGAACTAAATGCCTCTGTCGTTGCGCTTTGGGCACAGGGATAAGCTGGAGCTTAAAGCCATGAAAGACGGTTCTGCAAGCTATGCTGCTGTAGAAAAGAAAGCAGAGTTGTATGAAAAATTATCCAGAGGCGAGCTACCCGATGAAGAAGACAGAGAGAAATGCTGTGTGGATTTCTTCCAAAAAAGTTTCGATCGTGTCTATGAGCCTCAGATGCCAGAGAGTAGCCACAGAGCCACTGATGATGCAGAGCCAGTAAATGATCATGAAGATTCTATGCCTAATGCGAAACCGTTGGGCCTTGGCCGAGCAGGCACTACAATCGACAGAGATGAGCACAAGCGCTTTGTGAGGTACTGTTTTCTATGGGCACTGTCTGCGCTGACACTCTTATTGTTATGTGGCTGCTAGGATTGAGAGGAGAGAGTCGAGGGGAGCGACGGCGGCTGGCGCGATACAGTACCCGCGACACTACAGTACCGCGGGTACTGTTCATGGCTATGGCTGCGAGGGTGAGAGAGAGCCGGCCGCGGGGCGTTTGCCCACGGCCGGGCAAGAGGGAAGAGATTTCCTTCTTAATTCTTGCTCGATTAGATTGATACATCTCCTCTTCTTATATAGAGAGGTTTACTTGACTCCTAAGCAAGCGACCCTTATCTCTAATTAACCCTAACACTAATGGGCTATACATCCAGCCCAGGCCCAATAGGCCCCTGCCATACTCTAACACTTATCAAGTTATATTGCATGAAGCACTTTTATTTTGCACTTTACTTTATTATTTTATAGATGTAGAAATCAAAGTAATTTAGCTTTCTTTAGGACAGGTGAAAAATGAAATAAAAAATGGTACTATATTTAAAGTTAAGATTAGATTGAGTTGGTTGCTTGATTTAGGGATTGGTTTCATATCTCCCTCTCTATCCATGTCCTTGTGGTGCAGCTGCTGGGGATTGGCATAGTTTCACTGCTTGGATTAAGGGCCATCTAAGTTATGCCCTTGGCATACTATCTTTTATGTTCAGTCACTTCAGATTGATTTATTAGATACCTGATTTGAAATCTCAAGCAAAAAAAAAATGTATATGTATTGTTTGGTACTTCCTTATATCAGTTTCAGACAATATTTGTGACATGGTGAGATCACTGAACAGTGAACTTCATTGCCACTAGTGATATCAATATATCACTGAACCTCTTGAGTTCAACACATTTTTCCTCTCTCTTTGTAATATATACTATTGAACTTCTCGACTTCAACACCTTGGTTTCTCTTGGCAATATTATGTGCCCACTTAGGAATTTGTACAATGTCACAATGATGTGTTGTGACCTTTTGATTGACTTGCACGATGGTACATTTGCAGGGAAGTTCATGAGGAAGTAACTGAGGCAAGGCAGAAGGCCTCAACAGTAAGATCTCGACGTCAAGAGCAGGATGCTGCTCGTAGAGAGAAACTCAGGCAAGCTTACCTGAAGAAACGGCTGGAGAAGTTGATTGCTGAAAAACAGGTCTCTTCAGCCAGTGATGACCTACCCAGCTAGCTAGTATATGTCCTTGCATGTTCTTCCCAAGTACGGACGGCTGTGTTAGTCCATGGCTTAATGCAATCATGGAATGGTTACCGTGTCTCTTTTTGATCTAGTACAGTCAAATTAAGGAAATAGCGTTTGCAAGTACAGTTGGTGTTGCAGAATATTGTTGTACACAAATCTAGGCAATGACATCATGATTTTCCGAGACATTCGCTAGACCATCAATCCATATTTCTTCAGCTTTATTCCCATTGCGTTTGGTGTGTCTCCATTTTAGACGGATGTTGTAGGCTCGCATAGTTGTCTTGGTTCTAGTCGTCTGAAAGTTGAAAATAACTCACAGACGAGTGGAGAAAGAAGCAGGTTCTGATTCCCTTGATTGGATAAAAAGTTCGTTCGCCCTTTCTGTGATTCTTCTCCAACTTGCTCCAAGCAATTCTTGCTGGACTGCATGTCATGCCGCCTCCAAACTATTCCTCTTCGCTATTAAAGCCGAGAAGCAAAAACCGCGGTCCGCGACCTCACCGGAAAACAATGGCCAATGCACTGCCAGGCCAGAAAGCCGGCGAGGTCACAGCGACGCCGAATCCGTCCGAGTTCCATGTGTACGGCCCGCGACACCTGTCGTCCCCCAGCTGGTGGGATCTCCTCCGTTCGAGCTGGTTAGTTGCTCTCACTCTCACTCACCTTCGTTTCTGCGAGCGCACAACAGAAGTTCCGTGTCACTCTTGGCCTCGGGTTTTCTCAGGAAGGATCCCAACTACCGGCGGATGGTGATCGCGTGCTTCATCCAGGGGGTGTACCTGCTTGAGCTGGACCGGCAGGACAAGCGCGACGAGCGCACCGGCCTCGCGCCGCAGTGGTGGCGCCACTTCATGTACAGGCTCTCCCAGACACTGGTCGACGAGCGCGATGGCTCCATCTACGGCGCGGTGCTCGAGTGGGATCGCCGGGCCCTGCTAGCTGGCTACGCGCCGTTCCGCCCCGCCGGCGCGCCGGCCGCCGTCGTCGCGCTGCGCGGCACGCTGCTGAGCGGGGCCACGTTCCGGCGCGACGTCGTGGACGACCTCCGGTTCCTGGCCTGGGACAGCCTCAAGGGCTCGGTGCGGTTCGCCGGCGCGCTGGCCGCGCTGCGGTCCGCGGCGCGCAGGCACGGCGCGGGGAGCGTGTGCTTGGGCGGGCACTCGCTGGGCGCCGGGTTCGCGCTCCAGGTGGGCAAGGCGCTGGCCAAGGAAGGCGTGTTCGTGGAGTGCCACGTGTTCAACCCGCCGTCCGTGTCGCTGGCCACCAGCCTCAGGGGCTTCGCGGAGACGGCCGGCGAGGTGTGGGGTCGCGTGCGCGCGTGGCTGCCCTACGTGGGCTCAGCGGCTGCGGCTGCGGCCCCGGCCGCGGCGGACGCGAGCGGGGAGGCCAAGGAAGTGTCGCTGGAGCGCGCGGGGACGGCCAAGTGGCTGCCGCACCTGTACATCAACACCAACGACTACATCTGCTGCTACTACACCGACGCGGCGGCCGGGACGGCGACCGTGACGGCGAGAGGAGGAGGAGGGAGCGGGAGCAGTAAGGCTGCTGGAGGGGACGGTGGCATGGGCAAGCCGGGGCTGGCGAGGATGGTGACGGTGTCCAAGGGGCCGACCAATTTCCTTGATGCGCACGGGCTGCAGCAGTGGTGGGCCGACGACGTGGAGCTGCAGGTGGCGCTCAACCACAGCAAACTCATCGACCGCCAGCTCAGGTCGCTCTATGCCGCGCAGCCGGCCTCGCCGCAAGGGAGCCTGTAGGCTGTGCGCCTGTGTAGTTGTGTAGCAGCTGAGAAATAAGAAAGCAACGCCACCACTGCGGCTAGTATGATGCTGTTGATGGATCGGTCATTGGTGCGTGATGCTCCGCTGAGCACACGGATGAGGAGCGTTCCCAAATACCAAGTCGATGTGAACATTTCGGACTCCAAACGCAATGGCCATGTTCGCTTTGTTTTACGAGTCATGTTGTTTTAGTAAAGGAATAATATTTTCTCTCGCAACAAATCAGCGAACAGTACTTTCAGCCAGGATTTTTCAGCGAAGGGAACAAGACCAATGGTGTGGCATCCAGTCTCAGCAAAAAGTTTCATAGCTCAGTTTTCAAAGCTCTATGTGTTAAAAATAGTGTAGATGAGTTTTATTCCTATAAATCTCATTTCATCCCATTAAACTTCCATCATCTTTTTTTCTAATCTATTACATGCCATGTCAGCCTATTTAGGGTGGATCTCAGCTGCTAAAAATTAGCACTATGTTTGGAAGCTAATTAGAAGGGTCTCGTTCGCTTCGCTGAAAAAACAAGCCGAAACACTGTTCCGGCTGATTTGTTGTGAGAGAAAACACTGTTCCGGCTTAAAAAAACAAGCTGAAAAAGACGGATTATAAGATAAGCGAACAGGGCCAAGGTCTAAATGTAAACTAATTCCAAAAGTAATTTTATAAGCTGCGACTAATTGATGAGATGAATCTATATTAATCTTGATTAGCTCTTAGTTAGCCCATATTTACTGTAGCACCTAGGCTAATCATGGCCAAATTAGAATTAATAGATTCCTCTCGCTAATTAGTCACCGTTTATGCAATTGGGTTTGAAATTAGTTCACGATTGATCTTTCTAAATAGCATTTAAACATAGTACTACTTTTTAGTACTAAAGATCCAAACAACCCCTTAATACCCTAAAACTCGCATTGAGACTGGCCTAAATTTCATTCGTCCCATACGGTGCACGAAAGTAATGTAAAGCCTACGTTGATGTTTTGAGGAACGTAAATGGAGGATGAACATTGAAAGGAGCCACGCCAAAATATAGTAGTACAAGGAAATTGAAATGGAGGATGAACATTGAATGGAGGCACGCCAAAATATAGTAGATAAAATGGGATTGCAAATAGAGGATGAGCGCTGAACGAAAAAGAAGAAATTGGTGAATAAAAAAAAGTGACTCCACTAGGTATCACGCCAAAATATAGTAGAAAAAAAATAGGATTGTGAATGGAGGATGAACATTGAATGGAAAGAAGAAAGGGTGAATAAAAGTAGAAAAAGGGATTGTAAATGGAGGATAAACACTGAACGACTCCGATGGTGATCATGCCAAATTATAGTAGAAAAATGGGACTGAATGGAGGATGGACATTGAACGAAAAGAAGAAATGGTGAATAAAAGTAGAAAAAAAGGGATTGTGAATGGGGGATGAACATTGAACGGAAAGTAGAAATGGTGAATAAAAGTAGGAAAAAATGGGATTGTGATTGGAGGATGAACACTGAACGAAAAGGAAGAAATGGTGAATAAAAGTAGAAAAATGGGATTGTAAATGGAGGATGAACACTGAACAAAAAAAAAAAATGGTGAATGAATAAAAATCCCAAAAATATTGTAACGGGATTGTGAATGGAGGATGAACACTGACCAAATATATAGTAGAAAAGTGAGATTGTATTGGAGGATGAACATTGAACGAAAAAGAAGGAAGAAGAAATGGTAAATGGAGGATGAACACTGACAAAAAAAATATAATAGAAAAAAATGGGATTGTGAATATAGGATGAACAGTGAACGAAAAAGAAGAAATGATGTAGAAAAAATGGGACTGTGAATAGAGGATAAACAGTGAACGAAAAAGAAAAAACGATAAATGAAGGATGAACACCGAATTTGAACGAAAAAGAAGAAACGATAAATGGAGGATGAACACAGAATTTTAAAAATATAAGCGACTCCGCTGGGGATCGAACCCAGAATCTCTGGTTCCGTAGACCAGCGCCTTATCCATTGGGCCACGGAGTCGTTGCTGAAATAGTTTGTTGACTCACTCTAATGATGGGTATCGAAACCCATTATAACAATCTAAATGTAACATGTCACACAGCAGCTCGATTTCTGGATAGATGAATTCGATATAGGTGTGTTCCGTATCAATATCTGCTAGTCTAAGTAGCATATTTGACGGTAGAGATGTCATTTGATTTACCTGTGGTAAATTATTGTGTTGGACATTACTATACACAATTATACATACAACTTCATAATAAGCAATTTAACGAGCAGTTGGCATGAAACACAAATTATGTCCAGATGAGAACCACCGGTAAAAGACTCGGTGTCATCCAAATACGTCAGTCAACTACAGAAGATACATATCTGCATGAGCTGAAGGTTCCAACTAGTAGTATCTATAAATCCCATTACAAATCACAGTTCCATAATATACAGTTGATTGATTCATCCAGTTACGGTGAACCATCAGGAATGTGGAACAGATAAATATTCAGCTAATCAGCTCTAGTCGTAATCTGATCCCTCAGACATTTCTCCGCTTTCCTGCATGAGAATATGAAAGAGGATTATGCTTTCACCCACAAGAAAACAGGGGCTGGGGAGACTGTATCCAAGAGGGGAGAAAGTATAATATACACCTTTTTCTTGTTATATTCAATCATCGCCTTCTCAAATTCTGCACGTTTCTCAGTAGCTATATCATAATACTTGACCTTTTCCTGTCAAATGGATTAAGTGAGAACTATTGTTTTCTAGAAGTCAATTTTCATTACCATATAGAAGGCAGAAGCACTCAGTAGCATGGTTGAGTGAAGATGTACTGTACAGAAACTAGGGCTGAACATTCCGGTTTGTTCCAAATGGTTGAGACCATTCAAACATAGTACATGCTAAGCAATCTAGCTGCCCAGTACCCACAGAGCAGCGTACACATCAAGTTAATTATGAGTGTTTATCTGCTTTGACCAAACTGGTGTCAGTGAACAACCCTAAAGCAGCTCACAAGTGGGGAGCTCAAATACTGCGACAGTAAGTAGCAACTATACACTGACTGTAAAATACAAAATAATAGCAAACGTGCAATGATGTACGATAATTCAAATGAACCAAAGCTACAGTATTCACAAACTTCATTTTGGGTTTTTGAGCATGTAGGTCAGAAAATTTCACACCCAATATGGGGGGGGGTGACCTTCATATATATAGCCAATATGGCTGGGTATACAAGGAATACAATCAAGTATACATAGCAGGTGCTAATCATAGCTAATCACACATAGACTTGCCAAATAAACACATCCATGCCAATCTGTCCCTTCAAACTCTCTAAAGTATAAACTCATGAAAGAACTTAAATAAGAGATGGGCCATGGGCGCCAAGGGAAATCGCTTCTTCACCATTAGAATAAAAAGGTGGAAATAGCTCATGTTCTTTGAACTGGATATTAACCAAATAAAGCATAATACCAAGACCTTCTGATCCCTATATACTGTGTTTCCCATAAAATGGTTGATCAGGAAAAAAAGAAGTATATGCAAAAACCAAACTACATATCCAGTCCACCGCATTCAAATTCGCATTACCATTGTGGAATCAAGCAAGTTACATCAGCAGGCAGCATAAGGTGGTAAATAACTAATGAAACACAACTATCAGGCTGCAAAGAGGAAATACTGACCTCAAATGCCATTGTATTCCATTTTTCGCCACATGCCTTCCCTATCTGCAGGGCAAGGTATATTACTACAAGACTAAAGATTTGAAGGTTCAACATTCAAGTAATGAAAAAACTTACTTCCTGCATTGATTTTACACTTGGTTTTTCTTGCTTATAAACCTTCCGAAAATCCTCCCTTCAGCACAACATAGAGCGTCATTATAGATTGGTGTATAACACAAAGGCAAACAAGTGAAAGAGCTTTCACATTCGTGTTACACCTAAAAATATGGGAGAAACCTCACGGAGCAATCGATATGTTCAATGATGGTGTGTCGATATGGTTGCAGCATAAAGCAAATATGTTAAATAAGAATTCGATAAGTAACAACACATATGACTTTTTTACAAACCCATGTAAAGTAGAGCTGGACTGAGTACAGTAAGCTGATTACTTTGGTAAATCAGATGTTCTTCACACCAGCGTCATATGGAAAGTTCAGCAATGACGTTAACCGATAATCTCAATCGTAAATGAAACCGAAAGACAAAATCACAGTGCACAAAAAACATAAACCTACTTGGGAATGTAGCACAAACGGGCAAATCTGGCCACGAACGAGGAAAATTCAAATTGCTTCACCAAAGGATGCCTTCAACTTCAAGTAACCTAACATCCCAGCATCCCAATTCCCAGATCAAAAGCAAGAAATGGCAATATGTTGAAAGAAAAGAAAACTAGGAAAAGCCTGATTGCACAAGCTGAGCTAGAATGGTGACTGGTGAGCCCATCCAGCGGCTAGTGAACCAATACACATCAGAGATATCAAGTAGCACCTTGCACCTAACACTAGTATACACTAGAATTTCCTGATAGGTAGCAGCTGCACACTGGAACCCCTAACTTATCAATCGCTTAGCCGCGGCCAGAACAGTAACACCCAGCAGACACGAAATCCGTAGTTGGCAAATTAACAGGGGAGGGGACAGCCCAGAACATACATGAAGTAGAAGAAGGCGGTGGGTGGCTTCTTGGGTGCGCGGGGGTCGCCCTTCCCCGCCGGCTTGGGCCTCGGCTTCCGCTTGGGGCTGCTCGGTCTGGGAGCCATCGCCACCGTCTTGAGAGGCTTCGGCGCCGTCTGCGACCTCGTCTTCATCCGGCAAGGCAAACCACTTCGGCTATGCGCGTGGGTGTTGGGGTTTACGCGAGGTTTGGAGCCCCAGGACTCTCCTGGAGTGTGGAGGGGCAGCCAGATGGGAGGGAGGAGACGCGCACGGGAAGGGATGGGAGACGGGAAGGGAAGACGAGCTGGCCGCTAAGCTCTCCGCCTCTCGTGGGCCGGACGTGTGACCCACTAGCCCATAGTGCTGATTGGGCTTCCACTCGGTCCAAAAAAATGGTTGGGCGGTTGATGACTGATGGTTTGTGTGATTTTGTACCACATCGATGGGCGAGGAAGGGGTGAGAGAGGGCTTAGACGCTTAGTCCATAAGAAGAGGGGCGGGGAGCAAAATAAACTCATCTTTGCGCTTGGGGCAATGACGCAGCTTATGAGGTCATACCGAGGCGCGTCAATTGCTGGTTGAAAACTATTTCCAAACCCCCTCTTTGGCCCTCTGGGCCACTGAGAATTTCTGGAAGGGTTCCTCCTTTTCTAAGGTGGGAAAATCCTACAATCGTAAAGAAGAAACCTTATTATCAAAAGATAACTGTATGCAAATAAGATTTTTAAATGTGGGAAAATGCTAAAAATCTTATCTTATCGAAGGAAAACCAAAACTATATTCATGGCTTGCTTTGGCTTCTTCCTTTTTGATCTTCCGTATCTGTATGTGTACATCATCCGTGCACAAATTTCCACTCTTAGTAACAGCCTAACTGGTAAAGCACTCCTTACTCATCAACGTACGAACGGCAACGGCTGACGTGCGCCCGAACACCCTGGTACGCGCGCTAGTAGTTCAAGGGAGGCGAGAGACACTTGAGCACGGTGCTGGCCACAGTTACGGCCCACGGTGACGCGGGCGTGAGCGCCAGCAGGCACAAGCACGCGCCGAGGATCCAGAAGAGGAAGCCGACGAAGGCAAGTGTGGTGTTGGCATCAGGGCGATTGGCGTTGGCGGGACCAAAATCAAATGCAGTTGGGAGGGTGACGAGCGCGCGCCCGGCGTCGAGGCAGAGTTGCTGGTTGCGGCGCTCCGGGTCGGGGTCGCGGAAGAGGAAGACGTTGGCCGGCTGCCCCGGCTGCTGGTGATTACGCGCCGCGTCTCGGTACTTGAGCCATATGCAAGGAAGAGTTGGCTATGTTTTTTTTTTTTTTTTGGGAAAGAGTTGGCCATGTTTGTCGTGTAGTACATGGTCTATACTGTGATACATTCCTGTCGTCTTCAACCAAGCGTTCAAGGAGCCGCTGGACTCCGTCAAAAGAGCGGCGCTTCGGGCTCTATTCAAGGTCTTAATATGTGCTACATTCCTGGGATTAATATGTGCTTATTATTACCGCTAATGGACGAGTGTCATATTTACTGGATGCGAATAGTGAAGGACGAGAGTCCAATTAACGAATGTGGAAGCGGACGTGTGGCGCTGACATCGTTCTAATTAACAGCTCAAAAATTTCATGACACGTGTCTATTATCTTCATTCATGAAAATTTTGAGCTTGTTTTGAAAGTTTTAAATTAAATTTGATATAAAATCTAAATTTGAGCAGACACTTTATTAAAGGAAATTTGGATTTTACTCAGACATGTATGCTAAGAAATTACATGACAAAATACTACTCTCCAAACCGTAAATTCAGATGACATTTGAAAAAGTTTAGCTGTAGAATGACTTTTTTATAAAGGATCTTATCTTTCTTCTGTGAAAATAAAATTGTCTTACAGGTAGAAATTTTACCTTAAATCGTTTTTGAAAATAACCATTTTTAAAAGTTGTTCCACTAAACCTATTATTGCATTTAGAAAATATAAAAAGTTGTAACGTCACATTCAATCCATAAAAAAAAACGTTTACACACTCACATATGACATATAGAACCTTACATCTAATCAATAGATCTACGTACCCATGCATGAGATCGATCATTATCAATTACACTGGAGCTAACAGATTCAATCATAAGATATTTACCTATTTTCTAAAATAAAAATATATTTCTTCTATTAATACCTATATGGTAAAAAAAAAATAGATCAACAGTCCATAGTTATTTGAGAGTCTCAAAGCCAATCCGTTAATAAACAGCACAGATGAACCCTAGCACTGACAACCCATATATATATTAGTTTCAAAAAGCACAGTGAAGTGAAATGACATCGATTGTTGAAACTTGAAAAGGTAGTCCTCCCGAGTTTGAGCAGTGCTTGAGTCCTGCGAGTGCATTCAAAAACTAGCGTAGCAACTGACCAAGGTTTATATTCTTTTTTTAGACGAAAGATAGCCTTGCTACTTACTGGGAATGACTGGGATTAATGGCAGGTATACAATAGTCGGACACTCGGAAGACGCTCTAATAAAAGGAAGCAAAAACAAGTTCAAATTATCGAGTTGTATGCACTAACAGTTATATTAAAAAAACCTAAGGTGATGTGAAAAGGTGGCCAATCACTCTTAAGCTTCTTCTAACAATCAGACCTCAGACATAAAAATATTCAGGCAACAGTTCCGTTATTGAATTAAGCCAGCAAAAATTCGAACTCCTGAGCTGTAGTTTGATTGCCTTGATACCAGAATATAGAATTACTTAGTCCCTTGTGCTGTTGTGCAGTGGCTAATTAACCAGCATTTTCCATGTTTGTTCCGTGGGTGTGGCAGGGTCATTTGCCGGGCTGGGTTTCCTGTCATGGTACCTGGCCGGGAAGATCACGGTGTTCGATCGGAGGGGGCACATCGCCAAGCTCTGCGTCGTCCTCCTGCCTCTGCTCGTCGCGGCGTTGATTGCCATCTCGCGGGTGGACGACTACTGGCACCACTGGCAAGACGTCTGCACCGGCGGCGTCCTCGGTAGGTGCAGGGCTTCGTGTGTGAATCGGGCTGTCATGCCCTCAAGTCAAGCGCAACGAGCGCATGGCGTTTAGGGGCCTCGACAAGCCTTGCTAAATGCCAACTGCTCTTAACTAGCTATATCGCTATATCTCCTTGGCGACGATGAGTTTTGTCATGTTCGTTTATTTAGGATTGGTGGTTGCTTCAGTCTGCTACCTCCAGTTCTTCCCAGCTCCGTCAGATGACAAAGGTATACCTCGTTTATTTCCCTTGCCTGATTGCCTGAATATAATGTAGTCCCTTCACATTTCACAATATCCTGGCGGAGCGCTGTATCAAGGATATACTAGACCTCTGCAGACGAACAAATAGGCTAAACCAGGACATCTGATGAAATGAATGAGACTCTGAAAACATAACGACCGCTATATATGAGTCAAAACGCAAACCGCCTGAGTCGCAGAACTCTGAAACAACAGTTCAGTTGACCTGACTGTCTAGTGCCTGTGCTTGAGGTTGCAGCACAAACGGCCTGTCTGTCAAAACGCAAACCTGACTCCAGTGCAGTGCAGTTGACCTGACTGTCAAAACGCAAACCGCCTGAGTTGCAGCACAAAAACTCCAGTGCCTGTGCTTCTCTAGTTGCACGTCCCATCGTCTGTCTGCAGGCTAAGGCACTGTTCGCTTGAACTTATTAGCCGTGCCGTTTCAACGAAATAACAGTGTTTTTCTCTCGCAACAAATCAGTATCAGCATCAGCCGTTTTTCTGGCAGCCGATCATGGCCTAAAACCAAACGCGTCCGCTGACCTGACCTGACTGTCTGCGTGATGGCAGGGTTCAGGCCGCACGAGCACTTGAGGTTCGTCAGCGAGCGTGAGCGGGAGGAGGAGAGCCGAACGCAGCGCTCTACGGAAACCGCCGGAGCGCGCACGAGCCACGAACTGGATGCGTTGGAAGCCGGCAGGTGTTGCGTGCGAACTTGTACAGGATCGATCAATGGTGTACAGGAGTCCCCGTAGCTTGTGGTTATCTCTATCTGCAGGTAACACCTGACGCTGACTACTGACGTCATCCCTCTTCGTACATACTCCACGCATGCCCTGGAACTCTGTGTAAATAATACGTACTTCTGTACTCTCTACTCTCTGGAGTCTGGAACGTGTACTCCTATATACTATCTGGTTTTATGTGCAACAATCGTAGTTCAACTACTTACTCGCTCTGACAAATTCAGATTTGTAGAAAATATTAGTAACATTTAGGGATTTTGGTGTTTCTACCCTTATTCTATAGTGCAATGGTGATTTTATCGCTTCATTTTTTAACTTTGTGATTTTACCCTCCTTATAATCAAACGAAGCTCATGTATACCCCTCATTTGTAACACCATCTAAAATTGTTGGATTAACTGGTTAAAAAAAAAAAAAAGAAAAAGTACCTACATAAAAAGACCATGGTACCCCTCACTCCATATCTCCTTTGTCACTCCATACCATGGGACTCGCGCTAGGGTTTTGCTACCCGGCGTCGCGGCAAGCGGCGGCAGCACGGCAAGCGGTGACGCCGCTCCTCCCTCCGACACGCTTCCCCCTCGGCTCGACTCCTCCTCCCTCCGACCCGCTTCCCCCGGCTCGTCTCATCCTCCCCCGGCGGTGCGGCTACCGGCTGGGAACGCCACGCGGGCTCCACCCAGCCCACTACCCCGGCTTGCGCCCTCGGTGGTGTGGCTGGGGATCTCGCTCAGCCCCGCCCCGCAAGCTGGAGCCCACAACAGCAGCATCTTGACCGACATCTCCAGTCTAGCACCATGGAAAGAGCCGGCCACCATAGAAGAGCCCAGGTATATTCAGCAATTTTTGAGATGTGTGCTTCAATGTAGTAGAAAAATAGCCGCGATTAGTAGATCTGTTAACTTGTTTCTTCCCTGCCGTGATTTGTAGGCTAAATCACAGTAAATTGGAACTTGTTGTTAGAGCGCGCTCGTTTTTCAGCTTGCCAGACAGTGGTCCAAAAACATGGTGGTAAGGTAGAACTTTGCCAACAAAAGTTGTTGACACAAATAGCTTTGGGCTGCTGCAGCTGGTTGATTTCATTGCTGAGCATTGCTTGTGGGGTTCTAAACAGTACATTACCTTGTAGCGTGATTTAGAGAATGATTCTATGAA